CACATGGACGGTAACAGTATTTGTAAAGTCACCAGTGATTTGTCTTTTTTTCACTGATCAGCTCATAATTGAAGAAGGAAACAAGCTTACTGACGCTACTAATATGTCTTTATATGGAAACGATCATGAATGTGTCATGTTACTTTAAAAGCAAGATAATGAGCGGACAGTGAAAATAGACATTGGGTCTAATTAGAAATATAAGTGTGATCAAACAGAAAAGTGAATTACAGATGCAGTGCTGCGCACAGAAAACACAAAGCTGGCTGTCATGAAAAAATACACTATCACGAAGGGTCATGCCAGTTAAGGATCCTGGGACAGACTCTAATCTCTGCGTTCATATTTAATGTATTTTACTATGTTTACATAATTTATATTGGGGGGGAAAAACAGGCGCCGGAGCAGCTTTCCACTGCACCACGACTCTCAGCGAGTCTCTGTTTGGTTTCCTGGTCCCAGCAGCAGCCTCCCAGGCTGGCCCCAGCTCTCTTAGGGACAAAAATAGAAAAGTAGCAGGCGACGAACAGCTAGCTACTTACTGCTGATTGGCGTGAGGGTTTAGCAGGCGGCTAGCTGTATACTTTTACCCCTGAGATAAATAAATAAATAAAAAAGCAGCGGACGGGACAATAAAAAAAAAAGCCTGGCTGTCATCACTCACCTGAACCTTGGGGAGTCCTTCAAACACTCCTCGAAATCCACAGTTATCTTCATTTTTGCCGCAGTGGGTGAAGCCGCAGACCTGTGCTCTCTTTTGATTAAAGGCAATAATCCAGGCTGAGTCTTTCTCGCTAATTAGCTTGTTTGCTAACGCCGCCGTTTCTCAGCGACCAGCTGGCTCCACTCCGTCACCCCCTCTCTGCTAGCCAGCTAGCCCCGGAGGCCAGCAGCTACGATGAAAAAGTGGCGGTAATGCGACCATAAACGACCGTAACGTTGAGTGTGGGGACTGCAGTTTGAGGCGGAAGGGTCAGCGTGGAAAAACGGAAAGTGTCGTCCGGTAGCTAGGTCATAGCAGCCAGCGGGAGTGGAGCGCACACACTACACACACACACACAACTCCGAAGATCGTCTGTCGTGGTCAGACAGGGATCCACCGGCCAGTGCGCATGTGCCCCATTGCTGAGGACGTATTGAAATGTAATTCACAAACTAGCGCGCAAGGCAGGAATATGACAACTATATAACAACTAATAACTACTCATGAAAGTTCATTACTGACTTTTTTAATAAGGTTTGACCCAACAATCCTTGCTATTTCTACATATGCGGTAAATGAATAAACTAATTCATAAATAGATCCAGTAATAACTAAGAATATAGGATATTACTGCATCCTTCAAAGAATCTATAATATTCACTGCTGTGGAAAAAGTATTTATCTCCTCTCTACTTTCTTATGTTAATTTATTTTATTTATTTATTATTATTTATTTTGCATATTTGTCAGACTTTCGTGTTTCAGATCGTCAAACACGTTTTAATATTAGACAAAGATAACCCAGGAAAACAAAAAAAAATGCAGTTTTCAAATGATTGTGTCATTTGTTAACGGGTAAAAAACCTACTTGGCCTTGTCTGACAAAGTAAAACAAAATAAAAGATCTCAAAAAGCAGCACATCGTGCCAAAATCCAAAGAAACTCCAGAACAAATGAGAAACTGGCATTTATCAGTCTGGAAATGGTTATAAAGTCGTTCCTAAGCCTTTGGGACTTTAGCAAACCATGGTGA